TACGCCCAAACCCACCCAAGCCAGCCGAACTACATTGCAGCTCTTGCAGGCGACTACTTTGGCCTGAACCACGACGAACGCATACGTCTGCCAATAAACGTCTCTACCATCGTCGACCTGCTCGACTGGCGGGGCGTATCATGGAAGGCATACATGGAGGATTTGCCTGGACCGGGCTACTTGGCCGATGCCAGTGATGGCCAGACGGGCGGCGGCAAGTGGGACTACGTCCGAAAGCACAAGTTGGTTGGCCTGTTGATGAAGTTTGCTTCTGTGGAAACTGATATTCGCGCAGCCCCTTTGTCTCCTTTGACTCCATTAATCTCAACGGAACCCGGCTGCTCAACATCCAGGATTTCCAAGAGTGGAAGACTGACTTCGAGGCCAAGCAAGTACCCCAGTACGTTTTCATGACTCCCAACATGATGAACGACGGTCACAATACCACCCTCGAGTACGCCACCAAGTGGGCCCGCGACTTTTTGAAGCCCATATTGGCCGAAGACGCCTTCAAGGAGAGGACTCTCATCCTCTTGACCTACGACGAGTCCGAAGACAAGGGCAAGCCGAACCAGATCGTGTCACTCTTGATGGGAAGTGCAATTCCCAAGAACCTGAAAGGGACAGAGGACAAGACCTTCTACTCGCACTACTCGATGATGTCGACGGTCGAGTTCAACTGGGAGCTTCCGAACCTCGGGAGGTATGATGTTGGAGCCAACATCTACCAGTTTGCGCAGAACCTCGGAAGCAAAGTTCTCGTATCAAACAAGGACCCGCCTAACATGGCGGACGTGAACAATTCCGAATCGTACCCTGGAGCCTTGAACAACGACACTGGCAAGTTCCGTCCGTATCCGCCTCCGAATCTTGGACTCAACGGGTCGAGCGGGCTGCCAATTCTGGAGCATATTCGCTTGCAATGGATTTTCCATAAGGAGGAAACACCGTATGATGGAAAAGGCACTCTCTATGATGCCAGATTCCAACCAAAGTATATACCGCAGGTTCCTGTCAGGCATGGGGCTTGAGCATCGAGAACTTAGACAACTTCGAAAGCTTGCGCCCCGCCGGGTTATGCCGAAGTCTGATCGAGCATCTTATGCATATGAAGCTTTGGCGATTTCCAGCCTCCTATGATTGCAAATCGCAAAGTCAACCTGAGCCTTCTCATACCGCTGCGTGGGCCTCAAGAGCTTGAGAGGACGCTGTTGACCTCGCGCGTCACAAAAGGGGCACTTCCAATTGCGGTACGGCAATTTGATCGGAAGCAACGTTGCGCAGAGGTAAAGCGCATGGGCTGGTCTTGTGCGTAAGTGCTTGACCAGCTCGTGAGCCCGCCCTTCAGATGGAAGGTTGCACGAACACATCGGGCGCATTCTGACCATCACCGGGCTTCAACGGAAATTAATGGTGAACCACTGTTATCCGTTGAATTCAGGCCAGTATATTTGCTGTCAAGAGTCGAACATTCTGGCGTGACTTCTGGAATCCGTCGGACGTTGGCAGCGTGAGGAAACACCCAGCTATCACCCGACTATCGCTAGCCTCGGAGGCGGATCGCGCATGTGCAGCAACGGACATGGGTTTGGTGCGTCCTGCCCCAGACCGCATAGCGAAGCCGCCTTTTCGCCGTTTTTCGCAGGTTTGGGTCGCCTGTTGCGGACACTTCACGACTCATTGACGGAGCAAAGTGGTGTCTTCGGCGAGAGCGAAGCATCGCGTGAGTCCCACAGAACCGACCTATCGCAGCTTCCATGATGTATGTGTATTGTACGACACAATCATATGCAGCTCGTCACATGCTAAGGGTCGCACGAGATGATATAATATAGACAAGATCTGATGCCAATATAATGAATGGGCTTCGATGCAGCAAACGGTACTCTAGGGTATCAATCAATTATGACACGCCGTTCCACATCCGGTATTGTAGCTTTTGGGAAGCAAGACGGGCCGGATGCATGCCGGTAAATGTGACGAACGGCGCGGTTGAGGCGCATCGTACGTAAGGGTAACTTTATCTGAAGCTATTCCCGAAGCATGCATCACACCTAGCTCAAAAGCAAATGCCGACATTTTGACTCTACCTAGCCTACTGGCCAATGCCGAGATCGTTAAAAAGTCCTCGATTAGAAGTTGCGACCTTTCATGGCAATGTCGACGTCTATCTAGATTCGCTCACTCACAGGATCGATCAGACTGATTTTCACTACGTTGTTGTCAGTGCCAGAATTTAGACCACGTTCCTGCCTGCCAGTATGACTCGCATGTAAGATTCGCAGTCCGAGAGTCGTCTCACCAAAGCCAGGCCTAGCAAATCTCCATGACTCGAAGACAAGCCACCATTTCTGCTCCGCCGCGTCTTTCAACATCGGCCCCGAAGCGCGGCAATTCCTTCTAGACGCAATTCTCAAAGCCGTCCCGGCCACGACTTTCTGACATTGAATAGGAGACTAGGAACGCTGTTGCGAGGCTAATGACACAGAAGAACGGACTCCTCCTGCGCCACGCCAGCCGCGAGGATTCCTCATTCGCCAGACATTGATGCGACCGCGGCGACTCTAAGAGCGGGCCTCGTCGTGAGGCCGTCGCCGCGCTTGAGGCATTAGCGCCAGGGCGAAGGCACGCGGCGCTACCGCCAGTGCCTGTTGTTCCCTTGCATGTCTCACATCTGTCAATAGACACGCCAGGAAGAGCGCGCCAGGAAGGAGACTGCACGACAGAATCCCCCTTGCTGGACAATATTTTCCCAATGGGCGCCATTGCTCCGGGTGGCTGGCGACGATGGCAGCATCAGCCATCGCGACAGCTATCGGGAGGCGTGCGTCCCCCCACTTTTGGGGCTTGTTTCCAGTTGCTGTCTTCGACGTCACCTTTGCAACTCTCAGGGTCGCAATCTCAACCGGACTGTGACTCTGTGTGACAAGACATTTTCCCCTCCGTCTCTTGCGCCGTTGGGGTATTCCATATCCCGTGACGCCCAGCAGAGAAGAGAGAAGAAAAAAAAGAGCAACCCGATCATCTTGCGACCAGGAGGCCATGCGGATACCCGCAAAAGAGCTGGCCAAGATGCAACCTCTCGCGACGAGAAACACTCCTGGTGTAACGCGAGAGGATCTCCGTGGGAAGATATGTGGATTCCCCAGTCCCGCTCCGTTCGAACGCCAGGTCTGTACTACTGTTTCGCATCACGACTCTTGCCCTTCCGTCGTCCTACGAGGAATGGCCCCCGTCGGCCGCTGGCATCCGCAACGCTGTGCCAAGGTTGTGAGGCTTTTCTCCCCCGCTTGGACGTCCGTTGAGACTCACGGTCTCTTGCGTCGAGCTGCTCGATCGGACCGTTGGCGGGGCGGTGCTCGGTCTGGCTTCCTGGAGGACAATTGTCGTCCTCCTGGACAATGGGACAAGACGGATCTCACTTGTGCAGAAAGCTCGTCCTGCTCTTTGCACCCGTAGTCCTGGCTTCGAACCTAAGGACCGTGTTCTTGTTCGAATGAGGGGGAACTGAGAGATGACCTGCATGGATCGACCTTGCATGGCGATAACATCATTCTTCACTGCACGGGCCTCCGGCGTGTTCACGGCTCTGGGACTGACGAGTGGTCTCCTATTGTTCTCTTCCCATCAATTGGCCTAGCAATTGGATGGGGAAAATGTGGGAAAACAGGAGGAAACAAGGAGATCTCCGCAGTGGGGAGCTAAGCTCAAGCTGCCGCATGGCTCTTCCTCCTCCTCCTCCTCCTCCTCTTCTCCCACCTGAGCTTCACGCAACGCCGTCTGGTTGGCCCGCGCCGCACCTTACTCAGGTCAACAAGGTCAAATTTCTCCGCAGCTTGGATGAAACTAGCAAGAGAACACTGTGACAAAAAGGCAAACATGATTCAGTCCTCCCAGCCCTAGGCATATTGAGCGAGCATATTCCGGGAGGAGGAACCTAAGAAGGACATGGCTACTACTCATGAAGAGTCACTCCCAGAGCCTTTGCCTGAGTTGGGATTGCCTCACGGCAGTTGGAAACAACGAATACGCAGGGAAAAGCAAAAAAGGAGGAAGCCATGAGAAGCCACCAACCGGGGCGGCGCTCAACGTGACACGGGAAACATGCACGAAACCGTTCACGCCCAGCAAATGGCTCATGTCACCCAGATCATTCCCTACCTTAGGTCGGATCAAGGATCCACTGCCACGAGGGCTTCCTTCGATTGTCTGTTCCATTGAGTCTTGCGCGGAAAGTGTTTCTGCTAGTCACTGACGGTGAAGCAAAGTCACACCCGAGAGACGTTACCGCTCCGCTCCTTCACATAATCTAGCCTGACTGACGAACCCTGATCCCGTCCCGAACCGCTCAAACCTCCCCTTCCCCTCCCTCCCATCCCGTCCCGGCTTGCCCATCCAGCAATCTTCATTCAGACCTTCGATGCGTGTGAAGGCTCATTGGACAGGTCTACTCCGTTATCTACCTTATGTGATTAGTTGGGACACGGCTCTCGAGCCATGTGGAGAGCACAAAAGCTTACCTGCAAAGGGCATGCATTCGGGCCACACTTCCCGCTAAAGGGACGGGACGGATCAGTCCAACCAGAGTTTGGGCGGTCTCTCTCGTACACCACTCTTTTTTTCACTCTGCCGTCTCTACACACACTAGCTGATAGTGAGTGGTCCATCTCCCGTGCTAGTTTCCTCCCTACCTCCCCTGAGCGAAAAGGAAAAAGCAATCGCACACCTCCCTTGCTCGGACGGCAGTCCGCAGCTTATATCGCAGCTGCATCTCCCCCCTCCCTCCCCCCACCCTCCCCATCAAGGATGACATTGACAAGCAAGCCGTCTGTGGTTGTCCGCGAGTTCCATGACCGGGGAGATTCGTCCCTTTTGATACGACCCAAGGGCACAACATCTGTTCAAGCTGCCCTTTTTTCTTCCATTTCATCATTCTATCGCCTTCGGTTATAGGCTTTCACACAGCAGCATATCTACATTTGAACGAGAGGGAAGGCGAGATGAGGTGGATGCAGGCCGGTCTGGCGGTTGCGGTCGCCTTCTTTGGGGTATCACGGGGTGCACTCACCGACTTCGTCGGCCAGCTGCCGCCATGCGGGGTGAGTAATTTTCGGAATGCTTCATTGTGGTGGCTTCTTCTTGAAGAATATTGACTTACTTTTGGGTGGTGTAGTTGACTTGCATTATCAACGCGATACCAGCGTCAGCGTGCCATTCCGTCGACAACGACACCTGCATATGTAGCAATGAAGACTTGAAGGCGCGGGTGCAGGTATGCCTCCTCGCGAATTGTACGAGGATAGAAGCATTAGGTCCGTCCTTTCCCTTCCAAATTTGCTTGAGAAGCACACTAACACGCCAATAGATGTCGCAAGGATAGAGGCCGAAGCATGCAATAGACCAACACGCGAGCGCAAGGTGGACATTCTGGCGCCGTTGGCCATTCAGATTACTGGGTTCTTGATGGTTCCGTTGCGGTTATTCGCGCGGTGGACGACGATGCACCATTTTGCTCCGGACGATTGGATCATGCTGTTCACAGGGGTATGTCAACACAGGAGGGATGTAGATGGCTGCGATCTGACAAGTGACAGCTCATGTTTGCCGTTTTTGTCGTGCTTGGACAAATTGGTAAGCGCGGAAGCCTCCGTTGTCAAGTTCTCTACTAACTAGACTTAGCCGGTGCCGTTGCCTTTGGAGAAGATGTGTGGATGGTTAGGCCGGACGAACTAACATTCGGCCTCAAAGTCAGTCACCCTTCTGCTGTCACCAGTATTGCATCTAACCGGACCAGGTATTCTATGTCGACGAGAGCCTTTACCTAGCCTGCCTAGGCCTGACCAAGATATCAGTGCTATTCTTTTACCTCCGAATCTTTCCCAACAAACCGTTCCGCTGGGCAACATACGGAACGATGGGTTACATCATCATCTCGACGACAGTTCTACTCTTCATGCAAATATTTCAATGCATTCCCTTCGAATTCAACTGGGTAGGCTGGCGCGGCGACTACGGCCCGCATCACTGTCTCGACATCAACACTCTCGCCTTCGTCGCCGGCGGGCTGAGCATCAGTCACGACATCATCATCATCCTCTTGCCGCTCCCGTTGCTCTACAAGCTCAACATGTCCAGACGCAAGAAGGCGGGCATCTTCTTCATGTTCGGCCTCGGCGTCTTCATCCTCATCACATCCTGCGTGCGGCTACAGTATATCGTCCTCTTCACGCGCTCGCTCAATCCGACATGGGACTTTACGGATCCGCTGATCTGGTCCGGGGTGGAGGTATCTGTGTCCATGATTGTGGTGTGTCTGCCGGCGGTCCGGACGCTGCTCAACCGCATTTTGCCGAGCATATTCGGGTCGACGGCCGCGACGGAGATTACACCAAATCGCAAGGCGTCTGCCGGGTCTGGGTTCAGGTCCATCGACAGCAACCGGCAGTACCAGGGCCGGTTCGACTACGAGGAGGAGAGGAGAGAGGTCGCGCGGGCGGCGCGGCTGGTGGAGAAGAGGCGCAAGTTCTTCTCGTTCATACCGCAGGCCAGGGAGCCGAACGAGAGCGAGCTGGAGCTGGGGGACAAGTCCAAAGGGGAAGTGAGGACGGATATCAGGCATGCGGATGGTGGTGAGGCTGCTGAGACGAGGCGGAGCTCGATGGAGAGCGGGATTCACGTGAGCACTACGACTACGTTTCAAGACCCTCTCGGGCGAGGACAGAGGGACAAGGCAACGTTCTGAGGAGACCTTGCGGTCACGATATTCGAATGGATTAAGGCAGTCGATGGACCGGAGTCGCGATTCGGCGCCAGCTCGGGTTCACAGCACTGAGTCACTGTTTGGAGGCTATGGGATACTACTGGTTGGGGCATGGGATCTGTGATACCATTTGCATGGAAGGGCGTTGGTTTGACGGGCAAATACATAAAACGAACTGAACAGTGTAAAAGTAATAGTATTATTTGAACCTTCGTCAAAACTTCCTCGTGAAGATGGATGCATGGTGGGGCTAGTCCGAACCGCTGACTTGGACGTATCCATCCATGGCCGGATTGCTCGCAGCTGAAGCATCAGCCCACGATATCAGCCCAAACCGGGGCTCAACTCAATCGAAAAGCCAAGTCTGAATAGGAATGCGCCACGTGCTGGAAACAAAGATCCAGAAACCAAGGGTCCAGGCCTAAAATATCTTGACCTTACGGGGGACATTTCTCTACACGAGAGGCATATCGCCCGCAGACCTCGTCGCGGCTTCGCGTCGTGGGATAAGGTTTGCATCCCCATCTCAAAAGTGGCGTGATTCCAGACCACCTGGAAGAAGTGCCGTCCATTTTCGATGTGGGAGATCACCAATCATCGGGCGCGCGGGGGAAGGTATGGAGGGAGCTTGATCGGAGCTTATTTTTTGTGTGTTGTTACCAGGGTGAAGGGGGTAATTAATTGTGTAGAACTCTCTTATCGCTGCGCGGGGGTTCTCCGCCTGAAGTGGCCGCCTGAAACTGCAAGACCACCTCTTTGAGCGGTTTCGTGGCTTGGGTGTGGTGAGCTGGGGAGCCTAGAAGGATGATGGAAGAAGTATGTTGGGATGGGGCATGTTGTGGCGGTTCGGGAAACGCGGATGGGGGCTGGAATGGTGGGATTCAGGGACTGGACCCTTGATTGGAGTGATCCGTCAAGTGCGGAGCTGTCCCGCCGATTTTCCCACGATGGCCCCGAAAGGGGAGTCGTGAGCAAGGTAGTGGCTTTATTGGGAAGGGTTGCTGGCAAGGGAAAAGAGATGCCGACACGGCGACCGGGTCCCGATGTCCGGCTCCGTGATACAGCCGGAGAGGACCGGTCGCAATCCCCACACCAGAGTGACCCACAATCACAACGGCATTTGTGTAGTTGTGCAACCAACGGGGATCTCATGGTGCTCAAATGTCGTCGTACTGCATTGCTGCATCTCGATAACCCCGCTCATCTCACCGGTCTCCCCTCACTGCTACGGTGTGGGTGATGTCATGTCTCGCAATCACCATGCAGCCCAACCAAGATGGACAGGAACGCACGTATAGGGAAAATCGTACACTGAAATCAGCTCAATATCCGACCTGTTCCTGCAAAGTGGCTGGCTGGATATGGCGATGGTCGAGACAGCACAACCGAGACCATTGACTCGCCTCCACCCAGCCCGACGCCATTTCTCTGCACGCTTCAGGCGCGGGCGAAAGGATCGCAGATGATGGATTTGGTAAGTCGTACGGATATACGCCCCATATTCCGTTGAGAGGTTACTCATAGCAAGTCGTGCAACACAGCGCATTGTTAAAGTCTGCTCCTCGGCATCAGATCTTCACGACAATCAATCTCTCGCGGCCGCCCATACCCCTGTGTTATCATGGGTCTCCTTCAACCAACTCTCGACCGTTTGCGTGCTACCGATCTGGCAGTCATAAGTCGCCAAATCCTGCAATCCCGATCATTCAGAAAACCCCTGGGCATCCTAGCTGCCTTCAGCCTCATCTACACCCTCAACAAGGCCCTCGCCCGCTGGTACCTCCGCACATCCTCGCCCTGGGACTGGTCCAAAGAGATCGTCCTCATAACCGGCGGAAGCAGCGGCATCGGCGCCCTCCTCGTGCGCAACCTCGCCGCGCGCGACATCAAAGTCGTCACCGTCGACATCCAGCCCCCGCTCACCCCTCTCCCGCCCAACGCGCGCTTCTACCAGCTTGACGTGACCTCCCCCGCCGCCGTGCGGTCCGTCGCGCAGCGCATCCGCGAGGATCTAGGCGGCGACCCGACGGTGCTGGTCAACAACGCCGGCGTCGGGACGGGCAAGCCGCTGCTCGCGGAGACGGACGAGCAGGTGCGCCGGACGTTTGACGTGAACATTGTGGCGCAGTTCTGGATGGTGAGGGAGTTTTTGCCGGCGATGGTGAAGGCGGATCATGGACATGTGGTGACGGTCGCGAGCATGGCGAGCTTCCTGACGCTGGCGTCGAATGTGGGGTATTCGTGCTCCAAGGCGGCTGCGTTGTCGTTGCATGAGGGGTTGACGCAGGAGTTGAGGTATCGGTATAATGCGAGGAGTGTGTGTACGAGGTATGTGATGTTCTCTCTCGTTGCAAGCTGGGAAGCGCTGGTCTGATGTGGGAAGCAGCATCATCCACCCAATGTTCACTCGCACACCTTTGATACAGCTTGCGACCGCCAAGGGTGACTTTCCGGCGGACCTGCTCGACCCCGAAGATGTTGCGGATGCCATCACGAAGCAGATCCTTCGCGGTAGAAGCGGGTCGGTTTCTCTGCCTGGGTGGTGCAGCCTGATCTCCGGGATTCAGGGGTTCCCGACAATATTGCAGGAGTTGATAAGAGGGTCCAAGGCCCATGTGTTGGACGGCCGGTCTTTTGCTGCTTGATATAGATGGGTTCGAGTGTGATACCAATCTGGTTGCAGCGTTGCTAGAGGAAGTTCTGCTGGGCGTCGGTCATCATATCACCAAATGCATGGATACCCAGCGATGTCGGGCCAATCCTCCATCTTTGGAGCTGTCTTCTCACCGTTTCAAACCTCTACTGATGGACGCCACGAAGCTCGTGCAAGAACAACTAGATTGGTGTTTCCACCAGGTGCTTGTACACTTTGTGGACAGCTTGTCCGAGACTGTCCGCGTATAAAATCAGCTTGCATCGCATCGCCGATCTATGTTATACCGCTGCCAAAGATATGCTCCCTTGGGCGAATACTTTCCTACTTGAAGTAAGTCTATTTACCTGACGCGATATCATCAATGGGATTCACAACAGTTGATTAAACCAGTTCCGCGAGTATATATGCGCTGATCTTCTTGCCACGACGAGGACCGCATTCATTGACGGTATGGCCGTAATGCTGCTGGTTCCGGGCGCCATTGGCAGCTTGGTGGCATCTAGTACTGCCAGGGATAAGACGGGGCTTACCGACGCGTTGTGGACCAGCTAATTCCAGCCAGGCCGTGAAGACCGACCGGACATCCCGCCCGTCGTTCCCCACTGGCCGGCCCGTGTCCGGGCCGGCGGTTCCCCCTTCGGAACTAGAGGTTTACGGAACAGCATCTGCACACATTTTGCCGCCGATCGGCTAGAATTTGACCTCTTCAATCGCGTGGAGAAAGCTTGGTAATCCGATTGGATGCCGTTTACTGGAGAATCAGAGACCGCTCGGTCGGTAAGTGACGCGCTTTGGTTTCGATCAGTGGAGTGGCTCAAGGGCAGATCTGGGAGGCAGAGCGCCCTGCTGTCTGGCCGACATATAAGGATAGGCACTCAGAGCTCTCTGGCACACCATCTCAACCGCTCAAGCGCCCGGACGGCAAGCGCCCGTTATTTTTTCCCCAAGATGAAACTTGGACTTTCTTCTTCGATCTCCCGGCAACCAACAGCGACGCTGGAAATCAGCCATCAACGGCCTCGCTAGGTCGGAATAGGCGTGGCGCCCAGCCACACCATCTTAGTCTTGCCAGCCCTGCTAGGCTCCAGCATTGGCAAGACCAGGTCGCAATTGAGCGTCGAGCACACAGTCCTGGCAGGGAAGGATGGCTATTAATACGAGAGCTGCCCTGAACCGGCATTCGCCCAGGCTCAAGGGCAGCGTACGACTCTCTCCGATTCACCAACCCGAGGATCGACAACATGCACCCTTGGCCATTCTTCTGTGTGGCCCTCGCGTTCGCTCAGAATACCCTCGCCGTGAACCAGTTCCGACGACCTGCCGCCGATGGGCCCACAGGCGACTACAGCGAGAACCCAGCCTACGAGGTCGGCAAGGACATTACGTTTCTGTGGGACACGGATTTTGACCAGATTGATCTGGTTGTGTGGAGCGACGCGTCGGATAAGCTCAAGACGTCTCTGTATAAGAGGCTCGCAGGTAGGCCTCCAAGGAGCAACGAGGTGATGGGATGTTGACAAGACTCACGATGACTGACTTTCTACCAGTGAATCTGTCGAGCAGGGCGTATACTTGGAAGCCCAGTTTCGATGGGTTTCCTGCCGAGGCGAAGACGCTGGGGGTCTTTTACCTGACCTTCTATCAGGCGGGAACTGTGAAGCAGGCTGCCCAGTCGCATTACTTCAACATCACCGATACGTCGGCCGCTTCGGCTTCGGCGTCGGCTTCAGCTCCAGCGACGACTTCAAAGGTGACATCGACATCCGTGCCGACTTCTGCAATCACAGCGACGACCCCAACTGCGTACTCGCCACCCTCATCAACGTCATCACCTGCAGCATCCACCGATGCCGCGGTGCAGCAAGATGGAAGTGACAGCAGCGGAAGCGGTCTTTCTGCTGGCGCTGTGGCTGGCATCGCCATCGGGGCAGCCCTGGGGACATTACTTGCTGCTGGTGCTGCAGCATTCCTGGCATGGAAGCGGCATCAAAAGAAGAACGGAGCCGACAAATCAGGCCCTGGTTCAAGAGGCAGCGTGGCCTTCGGTGATGCTGCGGCTCAGGGATATTACGCACCGTCAGGGTACGCGCCCTCAGGCCAGTACACGTCGCCTGCATCGTATACGTCGCCCTCGCAGTGTGGCGGGTACTCCGCAGAGTGGAAGAGCCCGACGGTGCAGCCCGTCGAGCTGGCAACGGACAGAACTCCTGAGCTTGGGGGTGGGACCGAACATGTGGAGGAGCTTTCGACGAACAGGCGCAGCGCGATGAGTTAATAGAGTTGTAGCAGACTTCCAAATGTCAACGAAAGTCGACGTTCAAACCGT